AAATTTCAGTTCTTGTGCTTATCCTTTGCAGAAGTATTTATGGAAGGATCAGAGAGCCTCCCATGGCAGTGTTGGGAGGAAGGGAGGTCTCTAATCCAACATATCACTTGTAGGAATACTGTTTCTAACCCTGGGTCACATCAGCACTGGCTTTCCCCAAGGATAGGGATTCATTCACCCGGCCCCTCTTGGTGACCTCTCACAGGCTGTACTTCCCTCAGGGTCCTCCAGCCTAACCCTCCCAAGTTGGGCTTTGCTTCCATTGCCGCTGTAACTGCACTTCCAAGAGCTGCAGGCTGTGTTTAGCACATCCCTTGGCTTCCCCTAGCTAGCCAGGGCCAGCTCTCCGTGTCTCCTGCTGCCTGATCCTGATCGCAGCTTTCTGATTTCCCTCCTTCACATCTCTGGCTGGTTTCTTCCCATCACTTTTTTGAAGTGAAGGCCCAAAACTGGTCCCTGGAACCCAGATGCAGCCTCGCTAGTGTCAGACAGAGATAAAAACTTCCTGGCCTTGCTCCTAAGGCAGTCCAGGACATCACTGCCCTTACTTGCAATGAGCCCTCGCTGCAGGCTCGTGCTCAGCCCGTGTGCACTGTCCCCTCCACCAGCCCTGTTCTGCAGGCCTGGTGCTCAGCCAGCGGGTTCTCAGCCTGAACTGCTGCTGAGGGCCAGGTCCAAGATCTATAGGCACACTTGGCAGTGGAGGTATGTGATGCCTCTGTTGCAAAACTCGACTGGATAAGGCCACGAGGATCCATCCTTACAATTAGCACTGTGTCTACTCCCACCTAAATCCTTTTAGGTTTCTGAGTTGCTTAGGTAGAGTTTGTTTTCAGTTTTGTTTTGCTGTGATTGGATTTTGTTTCTGCTGGTGAGTTTGTTTCCTAGAAGAAAATATTCTCTCCAGAAATGCATTTTCTCATAGCTCTGTCATGTTTGGAGCCTTTGTTCTTGCTGTTCTTAGGTAAGAAAGAGACAGCAGGAAGGTTCATTGATGGGAAGGGGCTTTGGGGAGGGAAAGGAAGAGAAAGTCTTGGGCAAGAGATACAAAGCAGTGCTGGAGAGCTGATGAGCTTTGAGGATGGCTTGTGTCCAGGTACCATCAGACTTCAGGAAGGCAGGAACTATGAAAAATGAAAGGAGACATTAAGTCAGCATTGTGGACTGCGAGAACCCAGGCTGAGTCACTGTACCCTAGAAAAGAGGATTACACTATGCCATTTGGAAATAAAGCAAGAAACTGGTAAATATATTATCTAGGATCCTGTTGGAGCCTGGGACCAGGAGGAAGGAGTAGAAAGAATTTGACCACTTTGTGTGATACTGCTTCCTTCCATGGAGTTTTCTGCTGGGACTGGCACATCCCTGGGAGACAGGCTGGGATGGCAGAGGTTTAGTCTATGCTTTGTTTGTGTAGCTACAATGAGGCTGTAGTTCTGTCTGGTTTATTTATAACACAGATGTCACTATTTTTGTCTGTCCGTAAATAAATTGTGTGGCTGGCAAAAGGTGATATAGTGGATAGACAGATTTTAGTTAGGGTAAATTACAGAATGCTACAGAGTGGTATTTAAAAATGGCCTTTAATCTCACCTTTCTCTTGAACAAATAAAGAAAAAAAAAATTATTTGTTAATTGTTGTAACAAAGCCGAAAGGTTTATTAGAGTATTTGTCATTTCCTTTCTTAGTTGTCCTCTCTGAAAATGCACAACCCTGTTGGAGGACTGTGTTCTGCTAGGCAAACAGCATTTAAGGCTAATTTTTTGCAATAAGAAACTGTTTATTTCCAAGGAATTTCCACAGAATTTCCCATCATACCACTTTCTTAAATTTTTTCCCAAAAAGTTGTAATTAACTTCTTCTTGTCCCCATAGTGGTTTCCATCTGGTTATACCCATCCCAGAGTATTAATTTGTGAGGTTGTTCTAGGGAACAGAATCTTCAGGGACTAGTTGCTGCTTGGTTTTTTCTCTTTGTGTCATAAACAGCTCATTTCTTATATGAGAAGGAAGAAGACAAAGTTCAAGAATTGCATTTCTATTCCTGAGGCAAAATGTGAAAAGCAGCTCCCCCTGAGCAGTGCTTGCTCCTAGTTTGGCTTGAACTGAGCAGGAGTGAGTGAGTCAGACTTACTGGGAAGGTCAGCTGGGAACCTGTGGCCAAACTGGCTCCCTCCTTCAAAGGCCAGCAGAATTCCCTGGGTTTCTCCTCTAGGTGTCTGACCTGCCTTGAGTGGTGGATGGGGGTCAGGAAATTAATACATCCTTTGTGGTCCTGAGCTGAGTGAGCTGGTACCAAACACTGCTGGCTCTGGGAGTGCCTGGAGGCAGAGGAATTGCTGGGGTTTTTGGGAGGTGGAGACCTGGGCAGAAGGGGTGAGTTGTGTTCCAGCATGGTCAGCTCAGGTTGTGTGCCCTGTTGGGATGTGTGTGAAATGCAGAAGGGGAAAAAAATGGCCCAGTGCTGTTGTGCTCTACTTAGGGACGGACTCCTCTTCACCTTCCAAGAAAACAAAAATTTTATCATTCCCTTGTACTGTAAGGGAAGGGGATGTATTGTTACGGTGAAAAGTCAGTGTCTTTTAAAAGAACATCTTGGTTTGTGGAACTTTTTGTTAAGTTTTAGTCACTTCTCTTCGTTCCTCCCAGTGCTGGCAGCCGGGAGTGCTTGTGTATCCTGAAGAGATTAGGGAGCAATAAACCTGTTTGTGAGAAGTGGCCTCGAGCAAACTGATGTGAAGTCCTATTATAGAAGTCAAGTGGCTGCAGTTGGCACCTCGACTCTGTTCCAGCTTTGCATTGTTTGTATGAATATGGTGCTGTGAGAGACCGGCGGGGACTTCCCCTCTGCTGGGATCCAGAAAGGGAAAACTCCTGAGCAGAACTGGGTCCTGGCTGGAGAAGCCCCTGGCAGGACAGGGCAGGCAGGGTGAGAGCAGATGGTAAAAGCAGAAGTGGTGATTTTTGTGACCCCTGAACTGGGGCCAGGTGCTCCCTCCCCACACACATTCACTTGGTCTGGGCTTTGCTTTTGGTGCTCTGCTGAGGAAAGGGCAGGAGGAAGCCGGGAGAAGGGCTGTCTTTTATTTAACCCAGCGAACTGTGCTCCCGAAGTGAGTGTCCAGCTCTCCCCAGCTTCTCCTGAGCCACCACCTCAGGTCACCTGCATTGTCCTGCCGTGGGACAGAGTGACCAGGGCTGATGCTCACCATCCTCCAGCCCTCATGAGCCCCAGGAACTCGTGACCCCCTCTGAGCTCCAGCATTGCTGAGGAGCAGACACAAAGATGTGCAATGTCTAAGGAGGAACAGTCAAGGACAAGAGGGAGAACAGGTGTTGGTGATCAGGCTGACTCTCCAAGGGTTAAGAGCTGTTCAGACTCTGAATACTGGTATTGATAGAAATATTGAAGGCTGAAAAATATCTCCAGCTTTTCCTATGTAGCAAGACACAGGAGAAGACAACTGGAAGAGCCCCAAGCTCCAGGTTAATGTGTTCTGTGCAGAGCAGTTAAGGAGAAAAGTTGTTTCTGGTTGGTGGGATGTGTGTGCCAGTGTTCCTGCTCCTGAAATGGGACAGCATTTGGGAGAAGAAAGAGGTCCTCCCATTTAAAGAAAGAGCCATGAAGCAGAGGAGTGAAGAGGAGGAAAATCCTTCTCTCTTCTTTCATGGGTCTCTGATGAATGGGTTATAAAGTATTATGAACTGCAGGTAAAAGTAGTGCTTAAAGAAGCCTTTACAATTCTCACTTCTTTACCTCATTGAAAGCAAATCTGTGGCTAGTTGGGAGATTGAGTATGTGTTGAGAAAAAAGCTCCAAGTTTCGAGAAAATAATGAAATAAAGTCAGTTCATCATATACATTCTTCTGCATTTAGTGGACTCAGACTTGGCTGCTTTATCCTGAAACCATTTTGTTTTGAAACAGTTAGAATAAACAAACTGAAAGTCACAGCTGTATTTACTTGACTGTTGCCTTCTGCGCCTTATCACATATGTTGTTATATTAATGAAACTCTTGTATTGGAACCATTGTGCAGTGGGAAAGGCTGCTGCCTTTTCCCAAGAAGGAGTGTCTCCCTGGGGTAGCAGGGAATTCCTCATCCTTCCACATTCCAGCAGCTGATTTTGCAGCTTGTACTGTAATTACTTGTTAAAGTATAAGAAATGTTCCCTCCCATGTCTGAAAAATTCCCTGGTTTAGGGTCTCATTGTGTGCTTAAATACAAATGCTGCCTGTGATGTAGAGCTAGAACTGGAGATCCATTGGGGAGGGGATCCAGTGGGGATCACCATATCAGCCATATGTTTGTTACAGATAGGAGAGGAGTAAGGAAAAACATCATGTGAATGCCAAATGACACTCTGCTGCCTGCTTCTAATTCCTGATGGAAAAATTGATTTACCAGTGCTTAGTATCTTTCACAAAATCAGGTCTGGGACTGTTTAAGTTGGGCACAAAATAAAAGGCTTGCTGAAGTTGGGAAGGAAGTCTTGAAAATATTTTCTTAATTTATCTCTGAAGCAGTGCTTTGGCAAAGCTAATTATGCCCCCAATGGATAAAAAATGTCCTTGTTTGAATGTAGCCTTGCTCATACTTTAGGCAAGCTGTGTGGGTGGGTGCTCTGGTTCAGAGGGGAAATACTGAAGAGCAGATACTTTGTTGTTCATGGGGCAGAATGACAAGACCAAGTCCAGCATGAGAGGAAATGGCATTGTCCTTTGTGGTATCACTGAGTTGCAGAGTGACTCAAGAGGAAATCATGAGCCACATCTACATATGTAAAATGCTCAGAAATAGCATAAAAGCAGGTGTGACATCCTAAATTTGCACTGGTTAATAATGCAGAAAATTTTAACTGCCTATTTAAGACGCATTTTTATCCCTGTGCCATAGTTTAATTGTTAGTGGGCTTTAATTTTCTCCTAATCACATACTACTTTTTCCTGCTCCATGTACCATGATGTTAAAATGTGTTTGTTATTCATTGTATTTTCAGGTTCAAAGTAAGCAAGAGAAGAAGGCAGGAACTTCATCCCCAGCCCCCCTGCAGCCTGTGGTTAGCACTTGCACTCCTCTGCCTGTGAATAAAGCCAGCAGCAGTACCCCTGTGCCCATAAACATTCCACGTTTCTACTTCCCTAAAGGACTCCCGAATGTCTGCACTAACCATGAAGAAATCATTGCCAGGATTGAAGAGGCCTTTACAGAGTTTGAAGATGGGAAAGCAAACATCTGTGAAATGGGGAAAATTGCTAAGGTAACCATCGATGGTCTTGGAGGCCTTTTCCAGCCTTAATGATTCTGTGAATCTATTCTTTAGCTTTTTAGTTTTGGGAGAGACTTTGTTTTAGTTTCAGTCTATCTCACAGCTGTTGTAGGGGGGAAAAAAAGAACCAGTTTCCTTTTGATCTGAAGTTTGTTGTTTAGATTTAGATAATAGTAAACAAAAATGAGCTCAGTTTGCTGATTGTCACATCAGATATGTGTTTGTTCTTGCTTTGATTTATGAAGCAGTTCTCTCAGATTTCTTAGCAAATACAAATTGCATTTTTGTTTCTCTATTCCTTCGTATTTGTGCCCAGAAGATTGAGAAACTCAGAGGCAGAAATTTTTCTGCTTCTGTGGCTTCAGATAGTATCAGTTGCCCTTTTGTTGCTTTTGCAGCTGTCCTGCTCAGCTAGCATCAGCTGTAGGTGCTATTGTAGTGTTGTGTGAGGAAGCAACTTCCAACTTCCAGCTCCCTGGACATGGAAGGGGGAAATGTCCAGTGAGTCCCCAGCTCCTGAGCTGTGCATGTTCAATGTACAGCTGGTAATGAGTTCTGCCTTCAGGGGACAGCACACAGCACTTGTGTGGGAGCACACGAGATGGTCCCTTCTCTTTCCCTCTCCCTCAGCTGCAGTTCCACAGTGCTGCTGATCTAAAACCAGCATTTATCAGACACATCCTGGATGATCAGCTTGTCCTGAATGAGTCTCTGGCACTGTAAGCTGAGCAATGATGCCCTCTTCAAGCTTTCATGGCCTGCCATTGAGGGCCAGCAGCTTCTGCAGAGGCTGGTCAGGGAGTCCTTTGGCTGGAATCAATCCTTCCCATGTGTGCTTTCATTTTTGTGTTCCCCTGCTGAGATCTTGCAGTGTTGGAAATAATGGACTGTGCTGGGTGGAAAGCACTGCACTGAAAATTGCAGGGTGAGATTTACTTCACCTTTAGGCATTTACTCATTAATTGTCTGTAATTAGACTTGAGGTTCCCTTGCTGCCTGTGACAGGTTATCCCATAGGAGAATAGGCCCTCCTGTTTTAGGGTGGGTGGGGGACGTGGCTGGTGTGAGTGTCCTTCTGGAAGGAGGTGCCTGTCTCTCCACTCTACTTCCTAGGGAATTGTGCTAAACAGTTCAGAGCTTGAGTAGTCCAGATCCTTTTCCTAGCCTGAGAGGAGTGTTTCTCAGTCACTTGGAAAGGTACATGACAAAGTAGAAAGTTATGTGTGAATTCTCAACCTTGGCACCAGTAAATGGCATGCAGGTGAGTCAGAAAGCCATTACCACTTTATTTCCCTTGTGTAAAGTCTCAGTGGTGAACCAAGGTTCCTCTTGGGACTGCTCTTGTATTCCTCCTTGCCCTGGTTTATCTTGCAGATCTGTGGCTGCCCACTCTACTGGAAAGCACCTCTGTTCAGTGCATCTGGAGGAGAGAGGACAGGACGTGTCTCTGTGCACTCCTTTGTGTCCATGTGGAGAAAGTGAGTATGAAAAATGCAAAACTCTTTCTGGAAGAAGAGATCAGCCTGCCATACAACTATTTTTTCCCCCTTCTTTTCCATCAGACTTTTCATACAATTGTCCTCTTCTTTAAGTGGCTTAAAAGTCTCCATCAGCTTGAGATTTTTTCCCCCCAAACCCTCTGAGCAATTCTTTCTGTGTGACATCCACAAACTTGGAAGTAATTGTATAGACAGTAAGATGTTTTGAGTTAGTTGCTATATAAAATATATTTACAAACTCCCCAGAAATGTCACCTATTCTGAGGTAGCTGGTAGTTATCTGTGGATTTGAGGTATTTTTGTGCCCAGCCTTATTGCTCTGGACTGGTGCACTAAGCAAGTGTCATTTGGGGGTTGGGAGAGGAGGTATGTGATAGTGTTACAGGAAAGAGGAATATGGAAATAAGCATCATCATATAACTGGGTACTCTGGGAGCTTTAATAGTTACTACCTTCCCAAGCAAGCTATTGAATTCACCTGTGGAGTTTGACAGTCCACACTGTGGAAATGGAGAGCTCTGGATGGATGCATTATGCTTGGAGTAAGCTCTGACATGGAGCAGACTTGTTCTCTTGCCTGATCTTTTTCCCCTCCAGGGCAATTCAGGCTTTAGTCTACTTTGTGAAACACCTGAACAGCTTCTCCATCTCCTCTCCAGAGAGAGTCCTAATTTTTTACTTAATGGTTGCTCTTCAGATTCTTGACGTAGTCTTTAACCCTGAATTCCCAAAGTATTTCCTGTGATGATGTTGTCAAAACAGCTTCTAGTTACCCTGGCAAAATTACAAAAATGTTAGGGGTGACTGTGATCTCTAAGTTTGTCTTGACACAGACAATATATTTTCCTTCCTTAGGTTCCTCCAATTACTTCTAATTAATCCCTAATGTGTGATACCACATTTTCACTTCTCTGATTTTCACATCCTTCAGATATTTGCAGACTGTGGTCATGTCCCTCTTCTGTATCCTTTTAACTACCCCATTTCCAAGCCAAGCTTTGTATGCTTTTCTCACTTAGTTACTCTTTTAGAAAGATATTATTTTTTTATCCCCTCATCTTCCCTTCTGACAGTTACAAAATCTTTGCTGGAAAGCTGAAAAACAGAAGAAATGTAGGATTTTTGGTAAAGTTTGACTGCAGCTATGTGAACCCAGGTATAACTTCAAACCAAGTATATTTAGTTGCTGAAGCCTATTTTCAATTTTCTTAGTGGTGACTGACTTCTCAAGATGCCACAGCCTCACTGCTTGTCAAGTCTATAGGAATTTCTCAATATAAAACACTTCTGATTTGTTTGTGGCTAAAACTGGGCTTTGGGATTCATCTTTATGTGCCAGATTTTTTTAAGCTAAAACATTAGCACCTCTTTCTGCAGCTGATTTAGAATATATCTGTTAATTGACAGTTACCATGATAGGAATGTGCAGCCAAAAGGATTGCTAAATCTTTTTTTTTTTCTTATCTAAAAGAATCATTTTTTTGTAAAGTCTGCCTTTCCCAGACTGATGAGGCCAGAATTAGCAGGAAACAAGTTAGTGTGATTTCTGCTAGAGAACTACAACCACTTCAGTACTATGTTCATGCACTTTTACGAGAGGAAAGTGGTGAATAATCACTCACAGTAAATAATTACAGTGCATTTATATTTTCAGAGTTAATGAAGAAAACTGTAGTTTTCTGAGTTTCCCCAATATTATGTCAACCACATAGTGTTTGATATATTCAAATGTTGTGTTCTGTTAGCAGTGTTTGGTAAATGGCATGGAGTTCCTCTCTTCCTGAGTTTCCCTGGGGTTAATCCCATAACTGTGATACCTTTGGCCAGTGCAGTATTTTGTGTGAGAAGGCACAGACAAGACCTGGTGTGTCAGATGCACACTGTCAACCAGAGGGGACTGAGTTCACACACTTCTCCAAATGCTCAGTCCTACTAATGCCTTCATTAGGCTGTTCTCTGTGGCTTTGGTGCACAGCTCCAGATGGGCCATAATGAACAGGGGATGCTCTTTTTCCTTCTGAGAAGTGATTTTTGTGGGTGAATATTCAGTCCCCGTAGTCTGGCAATTTCCCCGAATGTTGCAGTATAGTGAAGGGTGACATTAGAGAGTGCACCCTGTGCATCCCATTGGGCTGGTGCTGTTCACTTGGAGCGAGCCTGCAGCATTGGCAAGAGTCAGGTGACTTCTCTGATTCCACAGATGCTTAGTAGGAAAGTTGCTTTACCACAGCAGTGTTAACCTGGAAAAAATCCCTGCTGGGTGCTCTGGTGCAGCTGAATGACCTTGAAGGAAGTCCTGGCAGTCTGAGGTCAGCATTTGAGTGATTCCCAGCATAGGGAATTGTGCTGTAAGGCTTTGTGACCCTCCCGGGGCTCCTGGGAGGTGCAAAGGGCTGGGAGTAACTCCTCCTCTCTCCCACAGAATCCTGCGGAGCTGCCACGACGATGCCTCCAGGTTCACTTCCCTTCTGGCAAAGCCTGGCTGTGAGTGCCTACAACAGGAGGACTTCATCCCGCTGCTGCAGGTACTGCCCCAGCTCCGCGGGCACGCTGGGCACAGAGCTGCGTTCCCTTGGCTCCTTCTTTGTTTCCATGGCAATAAGTGTTTACCAAGGACGAGCAGACCTTTGGTTTGAACAGCACCTGGGTGGGGTTCATTTTGGAGTGAAATAGAAATAAGCTTTTTAAGTGCTAAAGTGCCAAACCAGCTGCAAATCCCGCTAAAGGCGTTGAGGACTGGTCTCTTGTCAGGATTCGTATTTATCAGTGCCTGGTAACCAGGCTGTAATTTGCTCCATTTCTCAATGTGGATATTGGGAAAAATGCTTGTTGCTGTTGATAGTCAAGTACAACATAAAAACTTATTGGAAAAGTTGTAAAAGTTGCTTGGCAAGACAGCTGTAATTAAATTTGTCTAGCCAGACTACCAGATACAGTATCACATGGAGATCTTGGCAAAATTTCTGCAGTTCCAATTGTTCTGTATATGCCTCTAAACCTGCTACTGCACAAATGTCACTGTTTTGGTTTTTTTTCCCCTCATATTCAGGCTAAATCTGCACATCGTCATTTCATGTCTCTTTCCCTTTCATTAACTTTAACAAAGTATAGTTGTTTTAATTATTTGTGGTCATTTATGCAGGCTCTGGATAGGGCTTCTCTACAGTGTCTATAAATCACATCCATCTGCTCCTCTGATCAGCAGTTGTACTTTTTCTGATCTTTTCCATGCATCCCAGTGCTGCCCTCTGGGTAAAACCTCTGTGGAGATGCTGCTTTGGGGAAAGATTTTGTGTCTGTGCTGGCTGTTTCTGTCTCAAACAGAACTGGGGCTGTGATGCGTACATTTCCTCATGTTGCTCTTCATCTCTTCTCCACTGGGCACACTGCCTTTCCTGGTGGATTGCAGCTCTGCTCTTTAGCTCCTGGTGCAATCCAAGGCATGCACAGTCCTGTCTGCCAGTAAGCCAGAGATCAGCAAAATTACCCTGATTTACGCCACCATGTGAGACATCCTGTTATACTGCCCAAAATTTGGGCATATCACACCCCTGAGGGCACCATGGCATGGAACAAGCACAGCAGAACTTGGAACACCTTTAAAGGGTAGAGGAGTCACACATGGAGAAATTACACAGGCATTGATTCATACAGGATCTGAACTGATTCATTCACGATCTGAGCAGTTTCTCCATGGATTTGATCATGCAGATTTGGCATTGTGAGACAGTGTTTTACTTATAAAAAGCTGGTATTGAGAAAGAGGCATCTTCACAGGTAGTCCAAGTGAATTTTGGAAAAGCACTAATCATGTCTGTAAACTTTCTGAAGCTCACACAGCTTTCATTGGACATAGGAGCCTTTCTCAAGGAATATTTATTTCTGACACCTAGTTCTAACAAATGTTAATATCTTCAATGAATGGAGGAAAACAAAAATCTTGGAGAGGAGATAGTTGCATGGTCAACTAACTAATTTTTGTCTCATTCAATGAAAATGAGTTTTCATCTACTCACTAACTCTCTTCCTTTGTTTTTCTGTCCTTAAGTAAATCAAACTGGCCCACCAGGTGCGTATTGCCCAGCAAATGCATTCTGTTACTGTAATAGAAGGTTCTCTTGATAGATTAAAAGATTTCAGTTTTACTGTTAATGCTGCAAATAGTTTCAAGAGTAAGCAAAAGTATTGGTTTATAAAGCCATTAACTTCTAAGCATTAAAAGAAGAAGAAAATCTATTTCATTTCATTTTCTCTTACCTTGCAGGATGTGGTAGAAACTCATCCTGGCCTCACGTTCCTGAAGGATGCTCCGGAGTTCCATTCCCGGTATATTACAACGGTAGGCTGCTCCTCTGGTCCCCTGTGATGCCTCTGCCTCCCTTTGGGATCTGTCATTGCTCCTACCAGCAAATCCTTCAGTTATTTAAAAATATAGGTGTTTTTAATATTACTCACCATGAGGTATTTTAACAACTGCTTCCAAAAGAAAAATAATCTGCTTGTGTGTGCCAAGGGTTATTCCAAAGGTTAATAATGGTTCTTTCTGGTCTTAAGCAAATCTATAAAAACATCTTTTTTGGCATGATGAATGGAAAAAACGTTGTTTGGTCTTTGGGAGCTGCTAAGTCACCCTGAATTGTGCTGGGCTGCTGAGACATGGAAGGCTGCCTGTTTGAAGGTTTCTGTCACTGAGGCCTGGAGAATCTGTGACTGTTCCTCAGTGCAAAACGCCCTTTGCCTCCAGGGATCTGCTGTCCAGCCTTCCTTTTGCCAGGATGCCTGTCCAGGCTCTCTGTCCCCAAGCTTTTGTGGCTGGGTTTGTAGCTGGGGTTTATTCAGTAGCTTTGTTCCAGCTCTGCAGTCAGCACTAAGGCTGGCACTTTACCTAAGTGTGTTTGTACTTTTTTTAAGCCTTGAGCTTGACTGGTGTTGGGTATGAATCTGGATAAAAGGTATAAATGTTGGGAAGTTTTATCTCTGCAGCAGTAACAAATTCAGATAATGACAGACCTGATGGGAGCTATATCCCAACAGGGCTCAGGGCTTAAAGTTTCTCCTGTTTGCTTGCCAGGGCCTGCCTGGGGCTGCACCACACATGGCAGCTGGGAGGCTCCTGGCACACACATGCTTGTTCCTTTCCTGTAAGGAGCAGATGGCACAAAGACACTTCTTCAGGGCAAACCTTGAACTGTCACACTAATAAAAATGTATAATGAGAATCCATTCTAAATGTTTTAGATGCACTTGAACATGGCAGTGAACAGCAGTGTATAATCAATATGTTTAGTCCCTGTTGGGCAAGACAACATAAACATTAAGCCAGAACAGGTATAGGAATGGCCAGGGAATTATGGAGGCATGTGGAAAGTGCCTGTGGCACATTGCACCCTGGTATTTGGTATTTCAAGTGCATGGAAGGGTGAGACTGAAAGGTTTAAGGTCGCACTTGGGGTTGGTTTCTGACTGCAGTATCCACGGGTCAATGCCATGTGTGTGGTTGCCCTGGCTGCTGACAAAGGCAATTCTCTGCATCTGCCTTTATGGTTTCCTCTTATGTCACACACTGTTCCTGTATTTTTCAGGCAAGAAACAAATATCTTTGTAGAGTAATCCCTCACATGATTGCCCTTGCTGCCCTTTCTGGACTCACCAGGGGCACTGCACCATGAGGCTGAGACCAGCTGTGTGAAGCTGAGCTTCCACTTACAGTTAAATGAAGTGCAGGCTGCTGCTAAAGGGCAGCACCTTTTCCTTCCTCTCTCCTTTTCCACCACTTCCCTGGTGCCTGGGTTTGGTGCTGTGTCACCAAAGCAGTCACAAAACCAGACATTGCTAAGTACACGAAGCTCCTGAGTGCTTCTTGATCCTGCCTGTATGTCTGCTGTGCTTTCCTGCTGCAGTCAGAGCCTTTGGGCATCCTTCCTGGCAGTGCTGGGACACAGGTGGATCCCAGGCTTGTTCCAAAGGCAGCAGGGAATGGTGGTGCCTGGAGCTGAGGAGAGGGCTGTGGAGCAGCACACCTGACAAAGGTGAGCTGTCCTTCAGCTGTCAGGACAGCACTGCTCTGGGGATCTGTGCTGACAGCAGAATCTCCCTGGGCTGGAGCAGGGCCAGCACCTGGGGAGGCAGGAGGCTGCTGGGCAGGCTGTGCCCATCTGGAGGGGCAGCACTCAGTCCTCTGCAGCAGTGGCTCTGCTCTCTGATAGCAGGAGTTCCTATTGCTCACCTCTCCTTTTGCAGACAGTTTGGCACATCCCTTTTTAATATTACAAAATGAAGTATTTCCACCAGGAAGCAGTGAAGGAAACAGCTTTGTCCTTGGATTTTGAGAACACTTGGATCATTTTTATTGTTTCAAGGTAGAGTGCCTTATACCTCCTTACAAAGACAGAGTGCTGTATTTGCTGCCACACAAGAATCACAGTTCGTGTTTGTGTTACAGACTAGGGCCATAAGGACACATGGCTTTGTGTTCATTGCTGGGTACAGCATCACTTGGCTGAAATCTCCTGGAGAGTGACCTCACAGTCTAGGATGGGTAAGATGTGAATGCACATTTCAGTTCTTACTGCCCCCTCAGAACCTTTTAAAGGGGCCTTTTGGACACAACAGGCTGGAATTTCATCTATATCTTATCTGTTTTATTGGCCACTGTATTACTAAACCAGTTGTGTTTGTTTCAACAGAGACAACTCCTGAAGCTGGTGAAGATGATGCAGAACATCACAGAATATCCTGTGGCACTTGTTGTAAAGCTTTAGTGTGACTTCTACCTGAATGTTCAAACCAGGCTCAGAGTTAGCAGTGCATGCTGCCCTTGGAAAGCTGTGTGCTAAAAACAGATTAAAGATTAAAGCTTGTGGAAAAGTGCTTCAGCTTATACAGTAGCATAAATGCAAATGTGTAAAGGGACAATGGCCACAGGGATTAATAAAGGTTCCTGTTTTGTCCACAATTGGTTTTGTTCTTGTGTGGCAAGACTGGGGAAAAGTCTGGAACTCAACCGTGAATGGTTTGGGCCTGGAGGCCAATTACATGAGGATAATGGGGAAGTAGAAAGAGGCTTCTCTTTCCAAAAGCTAATTAAGAATTTGACTCCATGATCCTTGTGCCCTCTTCCAACTCAAGATGTTCTATGGGTCTATGGTTATGTACTGAACTAAGAAAAATGAAGCCAGTTATGGCCTAAGTGACAAATGTGACTTTCATGCTGCACATCATCTCCGGCTGGGTAATGATCTAGGACGTTTCCCAAATGCTTTTTTTGACAGCTTGGTGTTTACAAACTGGAAAATAAAAGGATAAATACTGAGATTTTATAGTGAGATGTATACTATGTACTGTCCATGGAAACTGGGCCATTATTTGAATAATAAAGCCTTCACTGAGTGACTGGACATGGTAAGAGACATGAAAAGAGATTCCATTTTGCCTCTGAATGGCTTTTTTTTTACAGATGGATGAGGAGGGAGCAGATGGAACATCTTTATCAATGTGGTCTCATAGACAAACAGTTTTTTATGTGTCACAAATGGGAATAGTTTGTTGTCTTTTACTACCCTGCAGGCAGAGGAAAAGTAGAATTACTGGTATGGGGTACTGTTTCTGATTCTTGGGATTGCTATTTTTGAGTCCTTGGAATGGTGTGAACACCCTGTATTTTTAAGGGTTGCTACAAAGTTGTCAGGTGTGATAATGGGTGATGTGAGAGGTGAGACTACTCCAGTCTCTGAGCTCTGGTGCAAGCTGGAAGCAAAAGCCAAACAAAGTCCAGAAACAGAGACCAGAATGGCAGTGGCTACCAGAGGCATGAAAGAAGAAACAAACGTTGTGCTTAAGACCAGAAAGGATCATTGTGATTACCTAATCTGACATCTTGTGCTACACAGGCCACAGAACATTGCTCAGTGATTGCTACAGTTAGGATGGGTCTAGTTTTTGGTCTGTTTTTAATTAAAATGATACCCAACTTTAAAAGGATATCCACCTCTTAGGCCTGGAGGGACAAAGAGCCTGCAGTGTTACCAAAAGGTGTCATGTTCAACTAAGTTGAATCAATCAATTCTGTCTCTTCAGGGTACATTTGAATCCTCACATCATTCTTGTTGCTCTCAGAGTTGTGTGTGCCATCATAAATTGCTGTCTCACTGTGTATCCCAAAGCAGACTGTTGGGAGCAATCTCATATTTGGTTCTGGATCTGTTCTGGACCAAGAACTAGCACTTGTTTGACTGAGTCTAAAGATGGCCCTTGGTTGCCTACTTGAAACTAGTTCTGGCTAAAACAGAAATCCATCCCATTTAACCTGCTAGCTGGATTAATCCCTGTAAGGTCCACATTGTTGTGTAAACTTAATTCTTGCATTGGAATAGTGTGCACTAAAGGTTACCAAAGTTCTGGGGTAATGTGCTTACATGTTAGAGACATCAAAGATTTGTAGTAGCTTTGGTCAACAAGATTTCAGTGCTGATAGTCAAATTAATTCTATTCCTCCTTTCTCATGCCAGTGATATGTACTTGTTGTTTTTTGCCCTGTTAGGTTTATTCTTGGATGTGCTTGGTCACACATTTGTGTTTCCTCATTCTGTGATGTTACTTGACAGCTGAGAGGGAGCAGATTGGGAAGGGCTGTTTGCTTTTTTGAAGAGCTTGGGAATGAGCTCAGTCTCACACTGGGAGCTGTTTGCTTTTGGCTTCTGATAGTTCTGGTGCCTCTCCCCCATGATTTTTGCTCACTTTCACCAGAGGCAGATCTGGAAAGGAGCCAAACAAGGTTAACACCTGCCCAAAATAATTGCAAACAGAACCTCTCCTGTTTACTTTCAGCAGAGGCACTGGGAACATGAGGCATTGTTATAGTTACAATGGGTCAGACATTCACCTTGTCTTTCATTTACATGTCTTGCTTCCTCTGCAGGAACCAGAAGAATCACAAGTCCTTTTTTTTTTTTTTCCCTTCTCCTCTAGTGCCCTATTTCATTGGGGATCCATGCAGACTACATCCCCTTAAGTGTGAAAAACTCAAAGTGATTCATCAGCACTTTGAGCATGTTTTCTGACACAAATAATACATCTGCATGCCCAAAGAGGTGAATTTAGAGCAGGGGAAATGTTTCCACACTAGAAAGGGATAATACTGTTTAAGAAGCAAGTGTTACTTTCAGACTGTGGAGTCAATAAAGGATAGTAGTATCCACAGAAAAGATCCCAAAACAGTTTTCAAAAAGAGGTCTCCTTAGGATGAGTGAATAAACCCAGGGTACTGCATTTAAATTCCCAAACTGCTGTGTTTCAAGAGTTGAAATCAAGATCACTGCTCATCTGTTGCAGGTTATCCAGAGGATATTCTACACAGTCAATCGATCCTGGTCGGGGAAGATCACTCTAACAGAGCTGAGGAAAAGCAACTTCCTGCAAGTACGTGGGTTTCTGAGGGAGCAGGAGCCAGAGTGCAGCAGCATTCCTTGTTCCTGTTCCTGGGGGGTGAGGGAGCTGCACCTGGGCTGCAGTGGGATGAGCCAGGTGCTCAGGGCCAGGAGTCCGCTGGGGCTACTGGAGGAGCTGTGTCTGAGTTGAGGTGAGAGAAGCAGGGACAGGAGTGGCCCCAGGGTGCTGAGAGAAGCTCAGGGCATGACTGTTTTCCTGCTTTGAAGCCACATGGAGCAGCAGCCCGGCTCCTGGTCCAGACAGCAGGAAGGGAAGCAGGACATGGCATTGCACCCCTGAGAAGCGGCTCACAAGCAGCCAAGAAGAGCTGCAGGAGTGCCAGGGGTAGGAGAGCCAATTTCCTGCCCCCTAGGCAGCCCTCAGCCCACTGACAGCTGGTCAGGAATATCTCTGCAATTCAGGATGAGGCACCTCAGGAGCTGTTCTCCACAGGATAATGAATGGAGCTTAGTTCTTGTTCCAGTGCCTGCAGTGTGTCCTTATGTCAGGATTTGGATCTCTGTCCTCTGTATTTTTCCCAAAAGAGCACCAGGTTAGGACTGCCTCAGGCTGCTCATGTCCAGCCCAACCTAAAGAGCCAGAAAGTCTTGAGGCTGAAAGGTGAAGGACTGGCTAAACTGAGATTTCCCTCCTGTGTCCTGTTTGCCCTTCCAGGTGTAGTGTGCTGTCTTCCTCAAACCCTTCAAGAATAAATTCACATTCTTTCTCTTTTAAGACATCATCTCCCCTACTTGGCCCCATCAGCTAATGAAAAAATTAGTGCTCTTTTGAATTGGTTCATGCCAGTCCAAGCCCTAGGATCCCTGTTCCTTCCCAACCTCTGTTACAAATAAATCCTCTTGGATTATCCTGCACCTTTATTCACTCATTTTCTCTCTTTAACATTCTCTCATTTTTTCTGCTTTCATATCTACTCTGCCTTTCATCTCCTGCAGCAGGGAAGTTCAGCTCCTTGCTGCAGGTGTAAATGGCATCTTTGGATGTGATCTACAGAAGAAAAAAATAGTTATGGCAAAAGCTTCCCAGTGATTGTCATCTGTGAAAGAGAGACACAGTCTGGAGAGGCCAGTGAGTGATGGATCAAAGGTGTTGAGACTTGGGTGTCAGCGAGTCAGAATAGTGCAGGTCTAGCAATGCCATCCTGTTATCCCTGCCAGAACATCACTGAACCTGGTGGATAGCAGGATGTGAGAGTTTTGTTTGGATTCACTTGGATTCCTTGGATGTGGAGGTGGCTGGAAGTTGATGTTGAAATACCAGTGCCAACACATAACACAGCACGTGTTTTTATGGTTATGGGTAGCAGGGCCAGAGAGCTTGCCTGCTTGGGGACACCATTCCCTGGGATAGCTCAGGCTGCTCCCTTGGGAGAGGCTGTGAGGGCAGGAGGGGTCAGGCCTGCAGCTCACTGGAGCCATGATTTATTAGACAGGAAGGCTTCTGGTGTCTCATGGCCTCAGCACCAAGAAGAAAAGTAGGGAGGTGGCACTGGGAAACATGCAAGTGCCCTCTTGTTGCTGGGAAGGACAGGGAGGTGTAAAGTGGGAATGAAACATGGATGTTAGCACTAAATGTCTCCTAGTAAGACATGTCAACAGATGTTATGGTTGGAAATCTGTCTGAGCCTCCCAGTTAAACCAGAATGATTCCTGCAACAGCACAGGGAAGTCAGTGGGATTAGTTTGGGGTCCATCCCTGCTGTCCCAGTCCTGGTGTGAGTCTGTAACAACACTTGATTTTGCCCTTCAGGAGGCAGACAGGGATGTGTGACGTGTAAATACATACCTCAGGTCCTGTGGAAGACTGTGGACTTGCTTCTGGAAGTGGCTCTAGGAGTCTCTGGTGCAGGTCAGGATTATCTCCCAGACCATGGATCCCAGCTGACACAGCAGTTTGTGTTCCTGTTTCTCTGCCTTACTCTTCACTAGAGCTGAAAATGAGCAAAAGTTGTGACAGGAGTGGCAGAGATGTTGTGCTAAGCAGGATGGCCAAGCCAGGTGCTCTGTAAGGGCCTGCTAAGGAATACAGCAACACATCTCTTGGGGAAAGGCTGCACTACGGGTTAGTTCTCAGGGCTGTGTTCACCCAGTTCACCCAGAAACTGGAGCACTTCTGCTGCTGAGCTGCCTCTTCATCCAGCTTTAACTTCCCACTGTATTTGTACCCTTTCAGACTCTTGCTCTCTTGGAGGAAGAGGATGACATAAATCAGATCACAGATTACTTCTCCTACGAGCACTTTTATGTCATATACTGCAAATTCTGGGAGCTGGATACTGACCATGACCTTTACATCAGCCAGAAGGACCTGGCTAGATACAGTGATCAAGGTATGCTGCCTGCAAATGTGGTGAGGGCATTGTTGAAAACAGAATGTTCCTACTGAAAACTAAAGCCTGCTGTTAATTTGATGCCTCAGAAGAAGTTTTAATGTAGCCACCCATCTCTTAAATAAATGTTGCTTAGAGCAGGAGTTGTACAAGCTTACACACAGAGAACTGCAGGACACACTATTTTCTGCATGAGTAGCTACAGATGGAGCTTCTGTTCCTGTGTGGGTCACTGCCAGGAGGACAGGCTAAAATAATGTCCTGAAACTTGTTTATTATTTACTGAGGGCTTTGCAGGAACTTGGAAGTAGGGACAAGAAGGATGAGCCCGTGTGAACTTCAGAGATTGTTGAAGTGCAGTCTAGTTATGAGAGGAATCCAGAGTCCAGTGAAGCTTGGGGGATTTCAGCTTGCAGATGGACTGGACAGTATCTCTTCAGCATGGAACTTCCTTTCCAGAAGTTATGTTTGTTTTTGAAGGTTCAAGGGCCATAGATAAATTAATGGAATACAAATCCACAAAGGCCCAAAACACCCATGTGTTCCAAGTGCAGGCATTTATGGGGAGGCCATGGGGGTTCTGGGGGAGTGTGGCAGTCACAGGACTCAGGAGTGTTGATCATAGGGCTGGCTGGGTGAGGATGGAGGAGTGCCTCCTTTGGGATGGGTGGTATGGGAGATTAGTCCCTGCTGGGGTATGGTGTGGAGTATTTGTTGCACAGGAGGCTTGAGAGCCCTGAGGTGCTGGAGGGAGCCAAGGATTAAGGGCAGAAGCCATGGGTGCAGTGCCCAGCAGCCTGTCAGCTGTGCCAGGGCACCTGAGGGGTGGGGCAGTGCCAGAGCTGTGCCAGGACCACAGGAGTGTAGAAGGAGTCCAGGTGGGGCTCAGCTGCCTGGGTGGTGAGGTCACTGTGCAAATCCTGCCCAGAGCTGGTACCTGCTGCTTGGCTTGTGCTCTGCCATAACAGCCTATCCCACATATCTCCTGGCTGGCAGAGCCTCACCTTTACGCTGGTGTTTAATTTTCTTCCCTGCAGCATGGTTGCCACAGCCTGTCTTTTCCTCAAAAGTATTTTGTAGGGATTTGATGTGTCATTTTTGCTTGATAACTGAACTTCTTTTGCAGTACACACTGGGATAGTCTCTTTCTTCTATGTGACAAATCCTACTGTAGCAAAGTAGGAGTAACATGCCCATTTCCAAGGATCCAGATGATACTTGCCATCCTTGTGGGACATTGTAGTGTTTGGAAGGATACAAGGGCAGACACACTGGGAGAACCATCTTGGGGTTTTAGAAAATGCTGCTAAACAGAGGGTGGTTAGACAGGCAGTGTAGTTAGAGCCTTCTTTTAACAATGGGATGGGGCTTTGTGTGGATTCAGCATGAACAACTGATTGTAGTTACTGCTGTTATTGCTGTAGTTATTGCTGTGAGCTGTAGCTTCATTTTCTCCATGTTTTCCTTGTTTCCAGCTTTGTCAAACAGGATCATTGAGCGGATATTCAGCGGTGCTGTGGTGAGGTAAGGAGTAGCACACTGCTTGGGGGAAGAAGGGAAGGCAATTTCTGTTAGGCTGAGAAATACAAGTTATTCTCAGAAATGTCCCTGGATCAGAATGGTTTCCAACAAGGTGCTCCAGCTGGAGCTGCCTGAACATGGAGCGAGACTTTTGGGTAACTTAAGAAAACAAAGTAAAAATCCCATAGGATGGGATAACTGGGCTTAGCTGGAAGACGTGGCACAGGGATAGCTGGAGAGCACTGCTGTGAAGTCTCTGAAAAGGGATGTGCTGTGGGAGGGGATGTGGCAGATGAGCTTCAGCTCTGCAGTGATAAAAGGCAGCAAATGCTGTACCTGGTGCTGCAGGGTGCAGGGAGTACAGGCTAAATAGGTGACAGTGCCCCATTTTCTCTCACTAATGATTTGAAAAATATTTTTGATGACATCTTGAGTATTTAGGGGCCTGGTGATTTTTAATTATTCTTTTTCTGCTATGTCTTCTAGAGGCACTGAAGTTCAAAAGGAAGGGCGCATGAGTTACGCAGATTTTGTGTGGCTCCTGATTTCAGAGGAAGACAAAAGGAGTGCTACAAGGTGAGGCTGATTTCTGTGTCTTAGTAAAATCATAAAGATGAGCAAGTAAGATATGGAAACTTCTGTAACCTACCACTTTCTTGCAGCTTGGGGTACAGGAGTTGTTGGGAAGAAAACATCTTACCGGTGATGGTTGGTCAAATCATTTGCCTTTCTTGAGGGAACATTGTGTAGAAGCAGAGTTTTCTTGTAATTTTTTATGTCTTGGTAGTCACCAGTGCTTTTGATGACCTTATGCCATGAGACACTGGCTCTGAGCACACACTCCTGAGGTGCTGGCAGCAGTTGGGCACATCCCTTCACAGGTGGAGTGGGTGTGTAAGGAGGATTTGTGGGGAAACTTCACTGTGGCCCTTTGTAAAACCTGCCTGTGGACTGGTTTGTACAGCCAGGGGAGTACTGCTGTGCAGGGGTGATCCAGATGTGCACCTGAGTGTTAGCACAAGAAATCTTACACATAACAAGAGAAGAATCCAGAACTGCAGGCTTGGACCCTCTAGAGGGGAGGAGGGATGCAGAGTGCAGCTGCCTGAGAGCTCTGCCTTGTGTATAAAGGAGCAAATGAGTGCATGACACAGCTGCCTTGTCCCTGCAGTGTCCTGGGCTCAGAGCTGGCTCTATTTGGCCAGCTCTTGCTGGTGGGTCAGGCAGGGACTCCCTGCCCTACATGAGCCCCCACTGGGCTGCAGCACAGTGAACACTGGGTACAGGTGAGACAGGTAATGAGTGTGGCTGTGCTGCTCACAGCCACCTGGGAGATTAACAGGAGGTGCCTGGAGTGTTGGCCTGTGCCCTGACCTTCCCAACGGGTCTTGTCATCCCTGGGCTTCTGCCAGGCTGTGGCAGAAGAGCCTTGGGGGTGGGTAGGGAGAATGTGCAGTGCTGCAGTGTCTGCTGTGTGGATGTGCCAGTGCAGTCTGCAGTGTCCCTGCTCTGTCCCAGCATCGAGTACTGGTTCCGCTGCATGGACCTGGACGGGGACGGGGTGCTGTCCATGTACGAGCTGGAATACTTCTATGAGGAGCAGTGTGAGCGCATGGAGGTGATGGGCATAGAGCCACTGCCCTTCCAGGACCTGTTGTGCCAGATGCTGGACCTTGTTAAGCCAGAGAGGGAAGGTAAGTCCTGTTTAGGCAGAGCTTTCTCTCATTTGTGGGGGGTTGAGAAGGTAAAGCCACTGTGAAACCCATCCACAGGAGAGCCCTGTGTGAGAGTCATGGAGCAGAAGTTACTGCACATTGGGTCATGATGTTGTGCATCAGGAGGGCTGAAATACTAAAACAAGAGAGCTTGTGAATTAACTGCTTGGGACTGAAGCAACAGTTCTTGTGTGCTCCAGCTGTGGGATGTGCTGACAGTGTGCACTGTAAAGTTGAACCATCCCCATTCACATGCCTTCATATTTTACATGAATGTCAAAGGCCTCCATATGTATGTGAGATTTCAGCTTAATAAACACGCCCATTTATTGAATAATGTTAACATCCTTGACTGACTTGGGAAGGAATTTTTTGCTTTTGAACTGCTTTTGCAATTAAAACCTCTGTAAGAACTCAGTAACAACCACGTGGGGTTTTTCTGTAGGAAGAGTAACCTTGCGAGACCTGAAGAGGTGCAGAATGGCTCATGTGTTCTTCAACACCTTCTTCAATTTAGAGAAATATCTGGACAATGAACAGAGGGATCCCTTTGCAGTGCAAAAGGTAGAAATCACCTTTATTTCTAAATAAGGAAATCTCATACTCATCTTTGGAGGGCTCCTGGATGTAGGGAAAATCCAACTGAATAAAAGAACACTTTTCACAAGTACAGCTTGTTGGTTATCTCCTAGAAGCCTCTTATCTGCTCAAAGTACAGAAAAGTGGAGGGGATGCCAAAACCACTTTGGTTCCCTTATAGTTGTTCCCACATAATCTGCAATAGAAACTTTGTTGTTCCATGATTTAAGGCTTAAATACATTCCAAGACAGAACCACTTTGTTTGTTTGCCTAAACTGGATCATCATAAAAGCAGTCAAGTAGGACCAGGGGGATAACTTGCTATCCCCATCCTGTAGTAAATGGCAGAGGACCAGGTATTTATAGAGGCATTCCTGTAATCTTCTCTAAAACTTCCCCTAACTTAGCAAACTGTAAAGAGTCCCTCAAAAGATCAGTTACAATGAATCTTTGGACAGATTTGAAACCACTGAGTTCTTCTGTCCTGTATGGAGTGTATGAACTGAGCTAGAGCACAGCAAGTGTGTGGTGGTTGCATTTCTGAAGTGGGGCAGATGCAGTTTGTTGGCATCTCGGGTCACATGCTGAGCTTTACAGACCCTGAGAGGTATTTTTTCATAGTCCTTTATGTGCAGATGTTCAAATACTCTGATAGGGTTGTGACTTTCTCAGTTAAGGCAGTTTTTGCCTGGCTGTTTCCATCCGTTCCTCCCTAGCCCAGAGGCTGACTGTGTGATCTCTTTAGGACACGGACAGCGACAGCCCCGAGCCCTCAGACTGGGACAGGTACGCGGCTGAGGAGTACGAGATCCTGGTGGCCGAGGAGTCTGGGAATGAGCAGCTCCAGGAGGGGTGAGCACGGCCCTGGCACTACCCTGGGCACACAGGGCTGCCTCCAGCTGGGCTCTGGTGGGGGCACGAGCTGCCACTGCCAGGAGAGGGAGGGGAGCAGTGGGGTGAACATTTGGACTGGACTCTGGAGCTCCTGAGGCCCAGGACAGCTGCTCCTACAGCAGCAGTGGGGTAGTGTTGGGGGGCAGCCACTTGGATCAGCTGCACACATCTGTGAAGGGGGACAAAAAATAAAGCCTATTTCTTTTGGTCACCTTCTAAAAATAGAGATCAAAACACTTTTGCTGGTCTTGGCTGTGTATTGACCATGTCACACTGTCACAGATTAGAAGCTGTAGCTCTGTTACATTTATTATACCTAGCACAGACTTTCTTTAGTCCAACTTTGTCTATTTGTCTGTGCTCTTTGTAATTTATACTTCAGTATTTTCATTCATTTACTAAGTTTGTTGAGACTTTTTTTTTTTTTTTAATATTTTGTTTCTTCAGTACCTACACTCAGTTTTCAGCCTTCTGTAAGATTCTGGACAGACACACCAGCTATCTTTAGCCAGTGAATTTAGGCAGAGCAGTTGTTCCAGAACTTCTCTGTGGGAAAGGGCTTCCTGCAGATAAATGGAGACTCAGTCTAATCTTTCTTTAGATTTGTGTCTGTGTTGGCATCTTCTTGAGAATATTTCTTTCAACCACCCAAAGAACGCTTACCCTGTGTTAATCCTGCATGATTCGGGATTGCATCCAGTCTTAAGCAGTATTTATAGAGCCAGTAGAGTATTGAGAAGATTGCATCATTTTCAGAACTTCCTACACTGGAAATTGCTCGGTATAACAGTAGCACCTACTAATTAGGCACAGAGTTTTGCAAAGATATTGAGAGCTGTTCCCCTCTCTGCCTGTGTGTCCAAACAGCAACAGGCTCTTCCCTAAGCCCTCTGAGCTGCCTGGCCTTTTCTGTGGCCTTCACAATGGAAGATGAGGGAGGGCAGGATGGAAGATGAAATTGCTGCATTCCCTGCAGCTGCTTTGCAACACCTGTGTCCTCAGCACAGAAAAGAAACAGGAGGCTGCCATTAAAGCTTCATGCAGGACCATGAATTCCCAAAGTCACCAAAACCAGGGGAAGAGTGACGAATTATGTCAGATTTTTGAATTTGGTCTGAAGCAGCTGTGTGTCTTCCTGCAAAGAGCATGTCGGCAACCTGGCTGCTAGCTTTTAAGAGCCCCTGAAAAGCTCTGTAGTCATGGCAGCAGGATTAGATCTCATTTGTGGAGCATAGCAACAGACCACGAAGGAAAAAAGAAAGGAAAAAGAAAAACAAAGAGCTGGATGCCCAGACAAATTTGCCAGACAGAGCCATTGAGTTTTTGCACATACATTATTTCTGCTGTGTTTTGAGGATGACAGAAACAGGGAGCGGGGACAGAACCAAGACAATTCCTGGTGAGCTCTGGGAGAGACTGGAAGATTTTTGGCTGAGTTAGCTGGCAGAACATGAAATATGGTCTTTGTCTTATGAATACATTTGAAAACAACTATCATTCAGCAATCACAGATGCATTAATGAGTATGTCCCATTTCTGTGATTAGCCCTGTCCCTGCTTCTCTGGAAGGAAAGTTTCTAAAGCCAGTCAGTCTAAAGCTGGCTGGGGCATGCCCAGGAGAGAGCCCTGCTCCTGGAGTGGGAGCCTCATCAAGGCAGTGGGTACTCCCAGCACCCACAGATACTTCCAGGATGCTGGACTCCATTGAGAGCTGCAGTCAGCAAAAATAAGAGGAAGGTCATGCTGGAGACAGCAATAAAGCATCATGTTTCACTGGAAGGCTCAGCTGGTCTGAGCTCTTCTCAGCCACACTCTGCTCTCTGATCTGTGTGGGATTCCACAGAGAGAGGCTGTCCCTAGGGAATGGATCCTCACACTGCTCTCTGGAGGCAGCACCAGCAGCTGGCTCTGGCCAGCACAAGCCTTGGTTTTGCAGCAAGCCAAGCCTTCCCTGCAGGACAGGGCAGCAATGGACACTGCTTGGTTCTTGTCCCAGAACCCAGCCTCAGGCAGCTGATGGATGTGGAAACCATCATTGCCTTCAGTGAAGGAGATCTTTCTGCATGGGAAGGAAGAGAAGGAAGAAGAGCATCTTTTATCAGCTGCTGGTGGGAAAATGTCCCCTGAGCAACAGGGAGGCAAGGAACAATGCAGAGCATCCTGCTCAGAGTGGAGAGGGGGGACAGAGGCATAGGATCAGAGGATGTTGGTTTAGGCAGCTTAGACCATTGTTCTTGTCTCCCTCCAGCTGTCTGATGGCTCAGCTGCTCCATTCCCAGAACTCAGCAGTGTGAGGAAGGGAGAGGGGGAACAAGGACATCGTTGAACCACCCAGAGCCAAAATGTGTGTTTGCCAGAAGGAAGGGCAAAGAATTCCCTGGAGTAATTTCCCTCCTCTGAACAACCTAGAGTTGCCACAGTTGAGTCTTAAGGAATGGATATTTAACCTACACAAGCCCATATTTGTTTTCATGGGACTGAAGTTCTGAAACTGGTCTGGGAGGAGAGCAAGGATTGACTATCTGTAGTGCTAATCTTGTTCAAAAGCATCCCAGAGATGCTCCTTAGCTGTAAAGGTGGAAAGCTTTTATTCCAGGATGGGAAAGGCAGGCACTGTTGAGCCTTAAGGAGCAAACCAGTGCAGTGGAAAAGTAACTCACTGGGAAAGGACAGTGGGAAGTCCCTTTGGAAGCAGACATGAGAGGGTTTAGTGCAGAAGCAAAACATGCCTGAAGAAAAAGATTATAGTGGAGCTCCAGCTGCTGGTGACTGTGCAATGCAGGGAAGAAGTCATGTTCCATTTGTAGGAGAGAAAGGGACAAGGCTTACAGAAGGTGGTAGAATTGGAGGAAAAGGAGATACAAAAGGAACATTCTAAGAACAGCATTCAAATGGAAATACAAAGTTTTCCTCAGCTGCATCCTTTAAACCAAGGAGAGATTAGAGAAGGCATTGAGATGATTCACCTGCAAAGTTGCCAATCCATTCCTGATGAGAGAGGCAGGGCAGCACAGCCCCCACAGGCACCATTGAGGCAAGAAGGGTGCAAATTGCACATATTTTGGCAACCTTGCACACGTGGTCAGAAGAAGTTTGGTGCAAGGTCCAGACCAGACCATTGTTTCCCTTCTCCCACTTATGCAGGAATCCAGAAGGTGGCAGAATTACTAAGCAGGTGGTTTCCCTATGGAAGAGAGGACAGTGTTCTCCAGGAAGGTGTGGGCTGGTGTCCCTGCACACAGGGAGCATCCTGCCTACAACAGGACAGACCCTGACAGCCTCCCAAGCGTTTGCTGTGCCTGCATCCAGGTCAGCCAAGGGAAAAACAAGGAAGGTAGACAATTCCTTCCTGGCACATCCATGCTGGGCTATCAAAGGAGTTCACCTTTTTGCAGCCCAGTTTACCACAGAACATGAGAGCCATTCCTGTCCTGGCCATTGGAGCACCTGTTCCAGCATTTCCTTTGTGAGCAACCTTGCTTTAGAACAAAAGGAAGAACTTTAATTTCTTGGGAGCCCTTCAAAATTAACCCATAGTATGCTGTGACTGAAGGGAAACAACTTAAAAACATCATTTCTTGGGACTAGGAATGGGCTGAGAGCCCCAGAGCCATAGCCTCTGCTGCAGGGCATGCAGGGAATCAGACCAGCCTGGATAGTGCAGCTGGAGCTGGGAATTCCCACCAAACCTCCTCAGACCATAAGTGCTCAATCCTGGATATCAAACTTCCAGCTCAGGGAGAGAGGAACATGAAAGTGTGGCCACAATTGTTCTGTGTCTGTCAAAACACATCTCAACCAGAAGATGCTCTGAACCAGGTGTTTCTGAGCCAAGGCTCCTCTGGGGCTGTGGTTGGATGACTTTATTTCTACACTGAACTGTTGAGGCTTTGGGAGTTCCTGACAATTGTTACTGAAGCTGGATTCAAATTTTCAAGTGCTGAACACCAGTGAGGCGAGGCTGGATGGGAGCACAGATCCTTGTCTGCTGTCAGAGTACTGATGAACCCCACCTTCTTCCCCATGCCTCAAGAATCTCCTCCTCAAGGTTCACCTCTCACATGCTCCTGCATTTTAGCCAGCTGACTTAGTAGCCACTGAAATAACAGCCCTGAAAACCAAAATACAGCTTTTAAAGACACACCTTTTGTCTTTGCAGATCATGTGAAGATGACTATGACACAGATGAAGTCTTACCTCCCCCTGAAACTGGAGACAAGTCAGACAAGCTAATTATCTCAGATCTCTGAGCTTAGAGAAGTGGAAGACAGCCCATGTCTTTCAAACTGGATAGCATTCAGTCCCAAGGCACTTGGGGTTTTTCCTTAAATCCGTCTTTGGAACAATGTGCTTTATTTTGTACACTGAAACTTGAGACCCCTTTTTGTCTTCCTGTGTAATTGCAATAAGGTAATTTCTATGAAAAGGCTTTTTACAATGTGTTATCGTGCACACTCACTGAAAATGGTGATTGCACCTTGTTTCATTTCTATATAAATTCTGTTATGTCCCCAGATGTGCAATAAATGCCAGCATCTAATGATTACCTGTAACAGCTGCATGCAGCATCTATAGTGGTCGTTTCTCAGTTCTGTCCTGTGCCACTCTGTCCCCTTGGCTTTATACCAGGAGTGACAAAAGAGCTGCCAAATTAACTTAAATGTGTGTCTAGAAATCTTTTAAAACACAGGTCACAGTGAAGTTCTTTTTTTCCTTCCTGACCTGGAAACAAAGGGAGCGTGCCTGCACATGGGGAGAGTGAAGTCCCTTTGTGCTTTGCCCCCAAGCTCTTCCACTGGCTGCTGGGCTGTGGATCTGTGAGCAGTTTCTGCCCTACACCACATCGTGTTCTCTAGGAATTTGAGATAGAGTTACCTGTTCTAGTCCTGTGTTCCCTCCTGTGGTGATCTGGCTCTGGCCAGAGCTTTGTCTGTGTGGATTTCTACTTTGTAGGAGTGTTTTGCAGAGTATTTACAGCAAATACAGATCTCTGCTGTTCAGCTACTGTGTTGAGACTGCTGTGCCTGGTGTGCACCAGTTCCGTCCATTCCTGTGTTCTCCTCTCCTGTAGCCTTCTTTAACCTGTAGCCAAGAGACTAAGCTAAGATACTGAAGAAAAAAAACCCAACCCCCTCTTTTAAGTAATAAAGGAATTAGTCTTTATTATTGCCAAAATTAATTTTTCTCCCAGGCTCAGGGAGGAAATGTTGTAACTAATGAATTCTTGCTTTAAGTGCAAATTAAACCAGCTTTCCCCCTAGAATCACGAGTGATACCTCTGCTCTCAGCACACACTGCTGCTGCAGCTGTCCCTCCTGGCCAGCAGGAACTGTGGTTCAGCACAGGGGTGATTAGAACAAATTCTTGATTTTAGCCCTCATATATATACAAGCAGTTCTGGGCCTTACCTTTTCAGCTGGGACAGGTCTGAGCCCCCCCAGCTGTGCCCAGTCTGTTATGCTGGGTTGCTGTGTGTCCTGTATCTCCTGCTACCTCCCTGTGAGAGCCTCAAGCTGTGCCTCCTGCCAGCATTCCTGGGAGATGCCTGCCCCTGTTCCCAGCAGGCTCCTGCTGCCCTCCCTGGGGCAGAGCACACCAGGGCACTGCAGAACTCTGTGTCCCCAGGGACAGGATGGGACTGGATCCCTGTGGTACCTCCAGGGGTCAGTACCCAAGTGAGGAACGGGCTGATCACTCCAGTGCAGTCTGGGCTTTTCCAGGAGCCTCTGGAGCCCAAGGCCTGCCTGCCTGCCAGGGGGATGTACTGCTGCCTCCCTGGGGTCACAACTCTCCCATGATCAAACTTGGGAAGAGAGAAAGGTTTCAGCTGAACTGAGCAGATGCATACACACCCCCAGGATCCTGGACTCGGTATTTGGGAAACTTCTGGATGCCCACATTGTTAGCAAAGGCCTGCCAGGTGACCTGCATCCCATAGTAACAGATGAAGCAGGGAGCACCCTGCCCAAACCAAGACAAGCCCCTGGAGTGCAGCAAGCACACAGTAATGTCTGAATCCATCTCCATCACTGCCACAACCTCGAAAGGAAAACCTTTCCTGGGGGTGATTCCACAAATGCCCAAATGCAGAACCACCAAGGAACTGACTGCAGGAATGGACACAGGATGGAGGTCCCACAGCTGCTGCTTGTAACCAGCTCGTTTTCCTGAGAAGAACCTAGGCACAGCAGGAATTCACCCTTCCCTCACTGCCATGGTCCAGAGGGGCCTTTCAGTTTGATGTCCCTTTACATCTCTCCAAAGACTAAGATTCCTCAAAAGGAACAAGAAGAACCTGACCCCATTCTAAGCTGAAATGGAGCCCTCCAGCAGCAGCAGTACTGCAATGGCTCATTTGCCAGTTCTGGAAAGCCTCAGTCACCCAGCACTTCAGGGTCTTTTGCAGAGGGCCTTTAATTCAAGCCATCCCTGAATTCAGGCTCCCATCTCACACCATGCCAGCCTGAACTGATGCCTTTCTTTGCAGAAGTCAGAACCCAGAGTGTGGTGAAACTCACCAGCTGCCTTCCCAAGGTTTGGTTCAATAAATAGAGACAGAAAGCTGATAGCTGCTCTGCTGAGCCCAAACCCAGCCCCTCTCTCTTACAGACATCCAGTATTGCTACAAAACATAGAGTGAATCCAGACCCAATCCATGCTTTCTGGTAGGTCAACACAAGCCAAGCTAATCCAAAAACCCCCCAATTTACAGCAAATATTTTGCATTCTATGTGAATTGAAGGACAAGCTGCAGAAGCCAGTGCTACTGTGGTGGCAGTGCAAAATCTGGAGTAATATTCCAGGAATGGAAATCCATTCTCTGTCCCTAAAGTACTTGAAAATAGCCACCATTCAGCAGGCACACGTGCATTAACAGAGAAGGTGTTCTACACCCCACTTGTGGCTTAGCCCTGTCTCCAGCTGCTCTGGATGGAAGGTTTGTAACTCTGCAGGACTTAAGTGAGGTAAATTTGGGAATTCTTGTCCTACTTTGCTTTTTTCTGGGATAGTCAAGTGTGCTTGTGTCCAGCCAGCAGAGCTGCTCAGCTACAGTGAAGCAGCCCCAGAATCCCAGTCCCAAAAGATTTGCAGGAGTCCCTTGGCTCTGGCTCTGGCTCTGACTCCATGTCAGTGCCACTTCAGATGCTGCATCCCAGGAAGGACACACCTGCATTGTTCAGTGCACATCCAGCTCACGCTGAAGGCTTTTTCCTTACGAGTAGTCAGAAAAGTGAGTAAAATTCAGTTTTGCATGATAAAAATAATGCAGGAGCCCCTTGGCTCTGGCTCTGCCTCCTGACTCCACGTCAGTGCCACTTCAGATGCTGCATCCCAGGAAGGACACACCTGCATTGTTCAGTGCACATCCAGCTCACGCTGAAGGCTTTTTCCTTACGAGTAGTCAGAAAAGTGAGTAAAATTCAGTTTTGCATGATAAAAATATGTTTGTGCTTATTTGTTCTCTCTAGTCTGCTTTTGTCTAGCAAAATGAAGCCCTGTGTTCTTACAAACCCCTTGCTTTTTACTGTTGTATCACAAACAGTAATACAACTGTGATTGTCTTGTATCATAAATATTTTCTCTCTGCAGTACTAAGATGGGAGCTATGGCTCAGTATTACTGCTGGAATGGTACTAGTTGGACTTTTTTCTCAGTAGTACTTGCTGCATCCCAGTTTTTGGCAGTGAACCCTGGGCACTGCTCCAGCTTCCCTCCTGCCTCTGAGGGGCAAGTGCTGCAGAACAGACATGGGCAGCAAAAGAGGGATTCCAAAGCCTTCCTGCTCTCCTGAACCAAGGATTTACAAAGCTCACTCAAGACACTCTAACCAAGGTACTGGGCTTAGTTTCTAAAACAAAATAGTCCTGAAAGACCAACGCTAAGTTCACTGAACTATCACTGTAACAGTATGGATTTGGAGTCTAGATCAGTATCTTAGGTCTATGCAAACAAAACTGAACCTCAGTGACGAGCACAAGCTACTGTAAGAAAAAATAAACAGAGCTTCCCCTTGTGTGCTCATCTTCTCACTGTATCATTGGGTGAGGGGGTTAGAAACTGAATATTTAATAATAATAATAAAAGTTCTCATACTTTGTAAAAGTAGTTTTGGAGACATTTTGTGGTGGCATGGTTTGATCTTTGTATTTTTACTTTATATTTTCTTCTTTTTTGGCAAATAAAGGACTTTTGAATTTAAAAAGGAAAACCTGTCTTGGTGGTGGAGTGTTACTGCTCACTTCATCTCCAGCTGCTGTGCCAAACTCTCCTTCCCTGCTGTGGTGAGTTCACACCACCAGGTAGCTGCAAGCAAATGCCTTCCAAAGCCAAAATTCCAGGCTTTCTTCTAAAAAATACTGGGATAAAGCAATCTGACCACTTACCTCACTCACATCTGTATCCTCAATGTGGAGAAATGTCTCTGTGATGACTTACCAAAACATCCAACTCCCTCATTTCAACCTTTCCTAAAAAAAAAAAAAAAAGAGGTATCTCCGGGATCTTGTGCAAGTGGAATGACCCAACTCCCTCATTTCAACCTGTCCTAAAAAAAAAAAAAAAAAGGGAAAACTAGTAATGCCTTTTCTAATGCCTATATGCAAATGATCAAGCAGAGTTTGTGCAGTGTGGTGCTCTTATATTGCTTCACCAAGGGGTGCCTAAATGTGTCTATAGAACAGTCACCTTCTGGTGGGGAAAACTAGTAATGTCTTTTCTAATTTACTTATATGCAAATGCTCAAGCAGAGTTTGTGCAGTGTGGTGCTCTTGTATTGCTTCACCAAGGGGTGCCTAAATGTGTCTATAGAACAGTCACCTTCTGGTGAGTTTCTTTAGGGTATCAAAAGCACTTCAAATTCTAAATTTAAATAGTTAAGACCAAAGATCTGCCTGTGATGTTCTTGGTAGTACTGAAAGCAGCATCACCTACCTTTCAGAGGGGATTTCCTCAGTTGTGCCACACACTTGGAATGATCCTTACAAAGGTGCTTGTTTGTATCCTTTCAGTTCTCCAACTTAGCAATCAAAAATCCTTTTCTGGTTTGCGTAGAATTTAAATAAGAATTATCTGGGGAAATGGTCCTTCTTGCATGCAGTAAAAAGATGCTTCTGTGCTGGATCACACCAGAACCTCTGCACCATCCCTGTGCCACAGCTGTGGGATCTGTTCCTTGAAACTCTGGAGTTTCACTGAGGGAGCAGCTCCCTGCTGTGCCAGAAGCAGCTGCCTTGGCAAACTGGCTTTTCGAGTTCATTCCTCTGTAACTCTGCAGGTTCTTCTGACACCACCGAATGCTGGGGCTGGCAGGGGCAGTCCCAGGCTGTGCTGAAGGCACCAAGGGCAGCTCTTCCCTGGGAATGTTTGCAGCTCCCATGCAAGGGAAGAACATCTGCAGGGAGAGACTGCTGAGCCCCAGTGCCCCTGGCTCTGCACTGTGGTCAGACAAGCCAGGGAAGAACAGCTCCTGCTGGGAGAGCCAAAGGTAACACATCCAGCAGGTAATGTTTTGTCTCCCTGTCCCCCCTCCTCTGGGATTTAATCCCAACCCCTGGTTTGTCATAGGATCATTAAGGTTGGAAAAGACCCCCATGATCACCAAATCCAACCTCTGAGAGCTCCACCCTGCCCTTTAAGCCCCATCACCCAATGCCACATTGACTCGTGTGTCTGAACATTTTTAACATGTGATACCTGGGAAGAGCCTTTCCACTCTACAGGGAAGTGTAGAGGGCTTCTCCTGCTTGTTCACAACTATGTTCAGATCTGGATGGTCAGAAGCACTGGATTTTGTACCACTACACGTGACCAAAAACTGCTTTTTCTCTTTTGATTCTGCTCTACAAATGACAGGGTTTTAATAAAGTTTGGCAGTTAATCCCTGCCTTCAAGGGGATTGGGAAGAAAACTGGAATATCACACACTTCCTCTGTAAGAAATCCCCAAGCAGCTCCCTCTGCGCTAATGCTGGGAGCAGCTCCCCGGATCCAGAGCCCCCAGGAGGAACGCCAGGAATTCCGGGCAGCCCAGCTGGGCCAGGCTGGAGCTCAAATAATCACTGAGCTGCACCCACCAGTGACTCTCCAGCTCCAGGGGATGGGCAGCAGGGACAAGTCCCTCCTGGGCTGTGCTGGACTGCATTCTCACCCTGCTCTCTGCCCAAG